TGTATGTATATATATGTATGTATGTATATGCATGTATGTACAGCGAAAGCGCTGCTTAAGAATATGCTAGTGCTAGGTCAGGGGGCCTCAGATTCTTAGCACATGTCTAGGTAGGGTGTGAACCAGGGACCACAAGCATTTTTCACTGCGGGCTCAGAATCTTAATTCGCGGGTTTTCTGAGATCTCCAGCTTGGGATCGAGTCCCAATAAGAGCCTATTCAAGATAAGAATCTGAGGGCTCAGACTGTTAATTCGGAGGTCCCCAGCTCGTTCCCAAGCTCCTTAATAAGAGTCTTTTCAAGTCAACAATCCAAGGGCTCGGATTCATAATTTGGGCATTCTTCTCGTTTCTCGTTCGGTTCACAAAGACACGGAGTTAAGAATGTGCCCCTGCTTTCAGGGGAGCTCAAATTCTTAAGTCAAAGGCGCCTTGACACGGGTGGAGAAACAGCCATATGTGCAGGAAGCTTCAGCCCGTCCAATTCTTAAGCGATGGGTTCTTGACCAATACTTCCGCTGTATGTGTGTACGTACGCACGTATGTATGTATGTATGTATGTATGTATGTATGCATGTATGTATGTCTGTATACGTATGTATGTAAGCAGATCGAAAAGACACACGCACAGACACGCGCACAGACACGCATACACATATATACTAATATATATATAATAAGATATAATAGTATATATAATAATATATAATAATATATATGATAATATATATATATATAATATATATATATATAAATAATAATAATGATAATAATAATAATAATAATATATTGTTAATATATAACAATATGTATATATATATATATGAATATATATGAATATATATATATATATAATATTATATATATATATAATATGTATACACACACACACATATATATATATATATATTATAAGTTCTGTATATATATATATACACACATGCACACACACACACACGCACACGCATGCACGCAGCACGCAAGACCTGCATGCACTCCACTCATCGAGCTGTGTCGTTGGCCGTGAGACATCACGCGAAGGATTGCATCGCAGTGCTTCACTTACACTTCAACCCGATACTTTCGAACCATGCGCAAGAAAAGCCCGGGAAGTTGCGCAGGATCTCTGCGGCAGTTGGCGTGGCGAGGATGATCCTGGCCCCGATGGTCTTGCACCATGACACGTGTGGGAATTTGTGTTTGCCTTTCGTCGTCTGTTGACACCTTACGGTCTGGCATGCAAAAAGCGGAAGAGTGACTTGAAGGTTTGCTCGAATCCGGCCGTTGTTAGAACACGAAGCCGGGCTCGCCTCGACTCTGCCAGGAGGCATTTCGACCCATGGTTCATGAGAGTCAGGATTCAGGTTGCGGTTGGGGCTGGGTCCTCTGCCAAAGGGGCTGAGGCTTTGGCTCCAGGTGCAGCACAGTTTGGGTTTTGTTGATTTGGGTTCGGTTCTTTCGTCCCTTCCTGGACAGCCAGTGCCTGAGGTACTTCGTAGCCTATGCTTTCAATGAGTACGTGCTCCCCGGCATCAGAACTTCATTGGCATGTGCAGATGCTTGCGCAAGAAGCAGCCTGGAGACGCGCAATGATTGGATGCAATGCTTTTTAGATCTTTTGAGTAAGGGTGTTTCACTGGTCCTGCCGTGCTCGCGCTGGAGAAATCAGGGTTTCGTAAGCAAGATCCTTTCACTGGACCCGCCGCAATCGCAGGTGTCAGGTGTGGAGGAGTTTCCGAAACTGGCATGAGCCAAATCACAATTTGGATATCTCGCCTGTGTCCTCATCCTGATCACCATTTGCATCCATCCTCCTCCCCGTCATCTGGATCGTCGCGGGACAACTCAAAAACTGGAACACATGAAGGTTGGGTCTTTGTTTGCAGTCGTGATTCTCAAGGTTGAGGCCACGGGGCCAAATCCGACCCATCGCGCTTCTCGGCGGCAGCGTTCTATTCTGCCAGGCAAGAGCTTCAAGAGGCAGAGTTGCACGATTGGGCATGTCTTCATAACTTGGTACTGGTAGCTGCCACATCTCTGCATATGGTGGAGCCACCATGCGGTTGTTACCATCCGAAGCTGCAGCCATCTCCAGAAAAGAGCGAGCATGAACAGCTTGTGGGATAAGGTTCTGGGCTCCTGCATTTATCGTCTGCGCAATGCCCACGGCCAACAACATGTGTCTTGGCCTGTTGATCCACCACGCGAAAGTCAGTTCATCGAGTCTCCCGTGGACCAGTCTAAAGTCTAACTTCGAGAGCCAGGTGGCGTTTTGAATGTTGAGTTGTACTTTTTGCGGCTCGCGCAATGCATTGTGGTCAGGAGAGAGCGTCTCAAAAGTCTGCGGCATTCTACGGCCCAAGCACATTTGACTCGAAGTCTGCAGGGCCCAAAACCGTGAACCTGCTTTCGCAGCCATGCAGCTGGCCCGCTGCTTGCTCGTGCTGCAGCTGCTTCCTGGCAGCGCCCAGACACCATTCACCACCAGACAAGAGTTGTACGACAAAGCCAGAGAGTGGACGAATGGTGACCAGGCCGTGAATGATGACATCGCAATAGACCAGGGCTATGGAGTAATCAGTGCTTGGGATGTGCCCCAGGTGACTGACATGCGATCAATTTGTGAGAACTTTCCGACATTCAAATTTGACATCGGCTCGTGAGACATATCGGCCGTGACAGACATGCGCTTCTTCTTCTTCTTCTTTGGTGCCGCAGCCTTAACAAGAAACTCGACTGGGACACATCGGAGGTGGAGAATATGGCGTACATGTTTGCGGGCGCCACAGCATTTAACAATGGCGCTGCAGCCCCTAACCAGCCCCTCAAGTTGGACACAGCGAAAGTGACGGACATGGCGCACATGTTTGAAACCGCCGCAAACTTCAACCAGCCCCTCGAGTGTCCCGGGAGCTGTTGTAAGTGGGACATATCGAGCGTGACCAACATGAGACGCATGTTCTCTGGTGCTTTAGCATTTACCCAGCCCTCGAATGGGACACATCGAGTGTGCAGCCCAGTGGAGGGGCTGGTTAAAGGTTGCGGCACCATCGAACATATATTTCGTAGACTAGGATATATCTCTTCGAGGGTGCCGCAACCCGTAACCAGCCCCTCGATTGGGTCACAACGAATGTGCAGCAAATGGAGGGCATGTTCAAAGATGCTACAAAATTCAACGAGCCCATCATGTCGTGGGACACATCGAATGTGGAGAATTATGGTCTTCATGTTCTGGGGCGCCACAGAATTCGACCAGCCCCTGGACTCCTGGGTCACATCCAAGGTGCTCAGCATGACGAGGCATGTTCTTGGAAGCTGCAGCCTTCAACCAGCCCCTCAACTCCTGGGACATATCGAGGGTGTCTAACTTGTACCAGATGTTCAAAGATGCTGCAGTTTTTAGCCAACGTTTGGCCTCCTGGGACACATCAGCAGTTACAGACCAACGAGACATGTTTAAGGGGAGTGGATGTCCAGCTGACGCCGCTGTGTTGCCAAACGGCTTGCTTGACTGAGCCACCCTGGAGACGGAGAGCTGGAGAAGCACCTTGGCTAGCCTTTGTATGCGTAGGAGTGGTCTTGGTGGCCTTCACCACAGCTGCGAGAGCCTGGCGAAGCAACAGGTGGCTGTCCTCCTATGAAGAGCTCTAAAAGTTCTCGCTTCTTTTGATGCACATTGGCCTCCTGGTGAAAGTGGTGGCCATGGCTAACAGCTTGGAGTTGGCAACAAGGGGTACTTGAAGAGTAGAGTGGAGGACTGGTTGATTCGAAATCTCGAATCCTGTAAGGAACAGTGCTTGCAAAGATTCTGAAACCGACGACCACTGGTGGTCGTGTGCCCGCTTGCTGCGTCTTCTGCATAAGTAGGTCGGCGTAGCAGACATGCGTTTGCTTGCCACGCCTTCCTCATAAGTAGGTTGGCATGGTTTCACGCAGTCGTCCAAGGAGCTCTGTTCTTCGTGTAATGTAGCATGCATGAAATCAATCAAGGAACCGTGGAGCAACGCCACTTCTAGTCAACTTGTCAGGACTGTGTGATGCGGAATCTAAAAGCCGGACTTGCTCGGTTTATTGTGCTTGTTAAAACCCCTCAACTTACAACCAAATTTTTCTGAATTCGCTCATGACAACTTCACTGGGACCCGGGCAGTTAGCCATTTCGATTGACTGCCTGATTTGTGAGGATTTCAGCAGGGATTCCGGAAACGAACCGCTCCCGTCTCCCACTACTTACTACTAGGGTTCTATGTTCGAGCTTGCACCATTCCCGGAGGGATGCGCCTAGCGACCATCAGCCACGTCTCGCATTTATGTTGGGGCTGTTCGACTCCGGCTGTGTCGTGTCGGAAGCATGGGAGTCGATCAGACTTCTGGTGTTTGCCCAAGCCGGCTAGACACGGCCCACTTAACCCAGAAGCGTAAGGATGGCATTGGCAGCAGACCGAGATGTACAGTCATCAATCCAAAGGGTATGCCGTATGCGCATTCTCGAATAACATGCAATGAGAGTCTTGCTTCTCGGCCCATGGGCGCGCTTGCATTTCAAGGAGCACCATGGCCGACCTCATTGGCAGTGGGCGCAGCATCGCCGCGGCCACTACAGCGATGCAGCTGATGGCCGCCCCAGCCTCTCCGCAACAAAGCTAAGCTCGATGTTTGATCTCGTGCATGTGCCGATCTCTTTTGCGCCTGGCTGTGCTTGGGATGGCTTGTTCTGTTTCCTTTCAATCTTGTCTCCTTAAACTCAGGGCTGCAGGGCCGTGGCGGCTGGATGCAAGTGTACGCCAAAAACTTGTGCGAGCAATCGCTTTGCATGACTACAGGGTGTTCGCCTGTTCTGACTTACCAGAGGTCATCCTCGTCGCCTCACTGAGCACGCATTTTGGCTTGAGTCTAGTGCGTTCTGGGGGGCCTTGGGATGCGCTGGCCGAAGCAAGAATTGTTCGGGACTTTGCCGGTGCAGGGTTGGTGTCTCGGAGTACGAAGAAGAGCAGACAGATGCAGACATGTCGTCATTTCCCTGGCGAACCTCAGGTTACTATCTCTGGAGGAACATCTTGCCAACTGAGGCTGACATTTCTGGACCTGTCTGGATTTGGTGCATTCAAGTAGGGTAGTTCAAGTTACATTCAAGGACACCGCTGAGAGAAGACTAAGAGTACGACTCATTGAGAAGGATGCCTTCCCTCTGCAAGTGGGAGCCTGTGCTGACATTTTGAAGGGAAAGCAGGTTACTGTAGGAAACCTTTTGCGATATTTGGACTCCCGCCAGACTCTGGTCTGTCTCTTTGTGCATTCTTCATGGGGCCGCATCGCCCGCGGCAAAGCACCGACGTTTTGCCGAAAGGCCAGCGGGCGCGGCGAATATCAAGTACTTGTAATGAGTGGGACTTGGAGATGCCAGGGCCACCACACCAGCTGTGCAGAGCAAACGGGTTTCTTCCACGCTTCCCAAGACAAATTTTCCGATGTTTCACTAATTGCGATTTTGTCAGTCCTTCAAGTGGAGCAGACGAGACCAAGTAACATCACGTCCTGCGGGGTTTGAACGACTTCCTCGTTCTTGCATCACGTTGCAAACCGAAGCCGCACGAGAAGCAGCTCCGTCGGAAAATCAACTTCTGCAGTCGCGGCTTTGTGGCAGACATATGAGGGTCCAAATCCAAACCCAACCTGACTGCTCACAGCATCACAAGTTGCCTAGGCTGGGCCAGGGGACCTCCAAGGGATGTTGAGACTGTCGGACCGGGCTCCACCTTGAAGCAACAGATATGCATGGCTTCCAGGGACCGTGTCAGGGATGGACCCTGCTGCGAAGTTGACAGTGCAGAGACCCCTGCAGAACGAGTTCTTCGTCACGAAAACATAAACTGTATCCCAGTTTTTGTGTTTCGTTTGTTTCTGCAGGGCATCCTGCGATCGATTCCAAGCTTGTGGTCAATGATCTATCGTACCATACGTTCTGCGCGACCACTCGGCAGGCTGTGTGCGGGTTGAAAGAGTCGCTGCACTGCTCAAGCGCTGCTTTCAGGATTCCATGTCTGTAGCTGTAGGCTGTAGACTAAGGATCTACCTCAGCTCTCCGAAGAAGCAGGCCGGAGACCTTGTCTGGTGCAGCTGTTGGAGCATCGCTCCATGTGGACTTCCTCATGCTTCTTGTGACCCCCTGTCCTTTGATTCTCTATTCAGTGGAGAGAAGCTGAGAGTTTACGGCGTGGAGAAGAGAAGAAGAGTCAGCATTTTTGAGCCAATGGTTCCCAGGAAAGGATTTCTGGTATCATGTGATATCCTGTGGCAAGGAGGGATGTGTCCCCTCTGTCGCTCCCAATCGCCCTGGACATGCCCTGACACCATGCCGAGGCTGTTTCTTTCGTGGGGGCGAAGCTGTCCGTGGGTGCAATGGGTGTGGCCCTGAGGCCCACTTAAGCCAAGAAAAGGGGAGGAAGAGATGCTTCGTTGACACTGCAGCACCACGTCACACATCCATCGCATCGAAGCTGTGATCGGCCGGCCCCAATCGACGTAGCCCTGCAACGACCGCCATACAAGGTGACTCGTACTACGAGTACCTGCTCAAGCAATGGATCCAGGGAGGAAAGAAGGATGTCCTGGTCCAAGAGTTTAACGTTTAGCACGAAGTTTTCCTCAGCCGTGTCCATCCTCTGCGTCGCGCGAAGGCCCGGCTCAAAGATGCCTGGAAACGAGCGCCTCCCTCGGCTTTTGGCGCTTTCTGAGCTGTTCTAGCATTTATAGTGTGTAAACACTGTGGCTGCTGCCGGTTTTTCGCGAAAACTGGGCTTATGAGAGAAGTTGGCATTGTGGCACGTGCTTTCTGCTGGCTTATGCTTTCGGGAAGAACTGAGCCAAAGGCGATGAAAGAGATGATGGACACCATGGTCACGGGCCCCAGATGCTGCTGGAGAGACGGATCGAAGTTTGGAAGTTGAGGCCAGTGACGGCACCATGTGGGCATTCGCATACTTGCCGCTCTTCGAAGAAGCAAAGAAACATTGTGTCATGCCCCAGAAATTCGGCCACAGCCTTGATACGAGAGGCCGATGCGAGTAGAAGTAACTTCCGAGTTCGGCCTGCATGGAGTAGGTACTCCGGCACAACAGGCAAGGCTGCCTTTGAAGCTTCACCGGTGCTTCCAGGTTGTCAGAACATCCAGCGGTCTGCAGTTCGTTGCAGAGCTCGAGTGCGAATCTCAGATTTTGAAAGTCGGATCTTGCAGCCGAGCACGCTCCACGTTGCTGGGACAGGGGGACACGGCAGCGGAATCGAATGGACCACCTGGCCTGCTTTGTAGTGCGGCGCCCTGGAACTGTGTTGCGGATGACGATGGCAGCAAGTGTTTTGGGATGGCCACGGTTAAGATTAGATGATGACGATGCAGCAGCAGCAGCGGCAGCAGTAGCAGAATTGGTGGTGGTGGTGACAGCAGGATCCGAGTGAGCACGTAATACGGACGACTGTAACGCAGAAGCAGGAATGCTAAGCCTTCGAGCTTCGAGCCCAGGCCGGCATGCTGATGTTCGGGGCTGAGTTGTGTCTCTCTTTGTGAGGGTGTGTGGGGGGCTCAGGGCTCAGCAAGGGTCCCGTCTATAGCAGTCAGAAGATTCCAGATTCCTTTGCAGCTCGTGTTCTGCTCATCGTTTCGATGCCGGCTTTAACAGTCTGACGATTCCTAGACGGAAGTCTTCAGTCGCCAGAGGCCTTAGTTATTCGACCTGCAGATACCGCAGCATCGCTCTGTTCATCCAGGCTGGGCAGCAGGACGCTTCCCAAAGAAGAGGTGCAGCCCAGGGTGGATTTGCACATAAAGCAACTGGATCGGATCCCCCATGCAATGTCGGGAAGGCATTACATGAATGTGATATAGTTCCCCGCGTGGTCCAACCGTGTATCAAGAGATCACTCGACTTTTCACACCTGTAGCAGTTCAACTGGCTGGGCTGTGGAGAGTTTGGATGAGAACTGTTGTTTCGCTGCTGTAGCCGATGCTATCCTCGCTGCACATCGATGGCTGCATGTGGCTGCCCTTAGCGTCTCTATGCTTGAATGCTTGTCCCACTGGTGGTGTCGAATTTCTCGACTTCTTTCTACTTAGTTCTCTGTGCCCTCGTCTTTCGAGATTGAAGAATGCAGTCCTTATACCGTCGTGCGTCGTGCAGCGCAATCTTAGCAGAAGCCGCTGAGACTGCGTCCTTGAAGCTTTTTGTTTTGTGCAGGTGGACCCACGTTGGGAGCCCTTCGCAGTTTCCGCCTTGGCTTAATTCGTGCTCGCAGTTGCCGTATCCGACAGGAGGTGTGAGAGTTATCTCTCTATCACCAGCTTAAAGCTGATGCGGGCCGACGATGGGTTCCCATGCCCCGGAGACCTTGACGTATCTGAACTGCTTCCTTTACAAAAAAGAAGCCCGGTGTTACTTACGATGTCTTGTTAACGGACGTTAGCAGGTTCCGTGATTTCAGCCGTTTATTGATGAACGCAATCCACCAGGCAGTTTCTGATGCCGTACGGCGTGTGCATGAGGCCGAGCTGACCTACACCTGCTACCAGATGTATGTGTCGGGATCCTATCCACTGCAGATCTGTGTACTTTGTGCCCTTTCGAAGCCCAGGCGCATGCCCACGGGACTCTCGCCGGAGTATGTGGCATTCAACCTGCAAGCCGCACGGGTGCCCCTTGGGAGCAGGGCTCGCATGTGGAAGCAGCTACAGTGCAGCTACAGGCTATGAGAGCCTTGAAATGAAAGTGCTGCACAGGATTTTCTGGCTTGAGGGTTGCAAGCACGGGACAAGCCAGGGCACCAGCTGCCCGAAAGAGTTGATATCGCCGGAATCTGCGGTTCCTCACATGAAATGCTGCGCTCAGTCCTGCTCGCACCGCAAGTTGCGCAAAACATGAGCCAGTCATAAGTCCTCAGACGTGTGACTGCAGGGCCAGGAGATGTCTGTACCCGGAGATGCGCCCCACAACTTGCTTCGCCCTGAGGCCGCTGAGGCGCAAAGCTTCTGTGATCCTTGTCGGTTTTGTCTTGACCAGTCAGTGGCCTTGTTGTGGCAGGCGCTGTGGTACATGTGGTACTACACCGGGGACCACAAGTACCGGCAGTGGGCCGGGAACCCTCCCAACTATGTTTGCAGCTTGTGCGCACGCACCTCCAACAGAGAGATCGATAGAGTATGATAGCGTGAGGGAGAGACTCAAGCAATTTCATTTCAGATTCCTTAGCTATGGCAGCCGAATTTCTAAGGGCCACGAGATGTTCCTCCCCTTCCTGCGATTCTGCAAGGCTGATGGGTAGTTGGATGTTCGCCCCTCAACCTTCCGGCAATGAAAGCAGCTTGCGAAATCTACCTTTCCTGTTCCCGGAGAACGAGTTGATCCAACTATTTCAGGCATGACCTAGATCGAAACCGCTCCTAGATCCTTGCACAAGCCAGGCGAAGTATGGATTCTCGGCGATAACAGATGTCCGCAAGAAGCCGCCGCCGAAGCGTGATGCCCAGGCCAGCCAAGCACTGCTTCCGATCCCAGGGCAGTGCTCTGCAACTTACAGGATGTTGTAAGCATTCAGCTGCTCGCAACAAAGTGTTGCAGTCAGTTTGAAGGTACGGGAGGTACGTTGCACTCATGCCAATGAAGCGCCAGAAGCACCCCCTCCCTTTCAGATGCAAACAGGAGAGCTTCTGGCTTGGGGAGACGTTGAAGCGCCATGGCTCCAAACGGTCAAAGTCATGCATTCCGGATGCTGTGCACGAGTTGCCGCGGCAGTTGTTTGCAATAATGGGGCCGAAGTTTGAGGAATCCATACCTCTTGTCAGTTTAGGGAATTTGAGAGGTTTGTTTCAAATGCTGCATGCAACGCTTGTTCCAGCAGAGCTCGCCGACGCCCTGGTAGAAACATTTAGTTTGCCGCAGGACTCAGTGGTGCAGTCCATTGCTTGAGGTCTACAGAAAGCGTGCGTGAGATCTCATGCTCACCGTCATGCAAGCCTGATTTTGAAGCAGAAGGCTGCAGGTTAAGATTCCCACTGACTTTCTGCCAAGCTGGAGGTACTTTTACCTTCTGTTTTCACCAAGAAGCACGCTCAATCTGGAGGACTTCCAAGTTCGGACCCTCGCTGGCCGGCCCTTCTCTTCCGCCGGAAGTTTTCCGCAGGAGTTCGTTTTGAACACGGAGGCGCAACCTCTGCGAATTATGGTCTGGAGCCTACTCGTGCCAGTGAGGGTCGGATGGGAAGCAAGGCCAGTTGAAAGCTTCTTCGAAGAGTCTTTTGCCGAACGACAGGGTCCAGCAAGCAAGCGAGCAGGTCCAACTTGGCTGATCTTGCTCCGGTGAAGTTAACATTCCGGCATTTTGCAGAACCAGAAAAGCCGACGCTTGTCGTTTTCCGTCAGGAAAGCTAGCTGACCGGCATTGCCAGCAGCAATGAGCGGCTGCACCGTATATGGCTGGTGTGCAAAGTTTGTGCGACCTTGACGGCTAACGTTTGACGTGGGTCTGGGCTTTGCGTGGTTGGATGGCTTGGCTGGGTGCTTTCCGGTATGCCGAGCAAAGGTGGAGGCGGTGGCGAGCCAAGCTGGGGAACTTCCGGCTCTTGCTTGGTTTTGGGGCTTTTGAAGCATCCCACATTGACGGGCAGCACAAGGTAATGTTGCGTTTACAGATGTATACAGTTGCATAGAGTAGAACATTCCATCGTTCATGGGCGACACCGGTGCTGCGGAATGCTTTCTTTAACTCTTCTAGCTCTTCGGCGACCACAGTTGGCAAAGCTGGGCGAGATTGCCTGCCGGCCAAAGAAGTCTTTTGAGTTCAGGAGCCCTCGGAAATGGCTGCGCAAGGCAAGCTGGTCCTGTCCATGTAGGTCGTTTGGCGGATGATGGCCGTTCTTCGTTTCACCTCCAGATCACAGCATGCGCCTTGAGGCGGAAAAGAACGGACGGCCCCTGCAATGTGAGATCCTCCAGTCTTTGTTGCCATCCTTTTGCCTCTCCGACTCGGTTTGCCAGTTTCTCTTGCTCTGCAACATTGGACATGTTTAACAGCTTATGGGGCTCCAGCAGAGTGCCCCGGACCGCCCAGAACCGTTTACGGTTTTTACGGTTCAGCGGTAGGCGGCCAAGATGTTGGGGACTGCAATTCACGAGTGGCCAGCTGGCAAAAAAAGCTCCACTGGTTTAGTGGCATCTTTAGCAAAGAAAACTCGGACCCGACCAGCATACTGTAGGACACCTGAAGGCAATCCACATGCGCGGTATAGGCACGAAGATGGATGCGGCCCTTCCCAGGACCGTGAGAAAACCACCCTGGTCCCCCGCCCTCAGAGAAGTAACAATGGACCCTTGTTATAGCTACTTGTAGTATCTACTAATGGATCCCCCCAAAACCCTGTTCTACCTTATCTGCAACCAATGAAGCTATGGCAGCGGAACATTTGCCTGCCACTCCTCTGCCTCTTGGACACCGCCGTGAGAGGTTGCAGTCTCAGACCGAGGGTTGCTGCTCAGCGGTCTCAGAGTTCTGTGTAAAGCACATACTTCAAGACTGAAGAATCGTGTCCAGTCCTTGCCTGGCTTTGCCCTGCGCCTCAAGGATGTTATACTGTCACTGAGCTACTAGCCCTCTGGCCAGCGGACGCCACTGGTGCCCCGCTCCACCCGGCCGTTGATCAAGTCGCCAGTTTTCTGCATCACCAGTACGCTGGCATATTGCGCAGATCCCTCACGGGGGATGCAAAGCACCCGGTTGCTGATGCTCATGATGCTGGCCGGGCTTGGCCACAGGGGCACAGCACCCTGCAGCTGATGCTCATGATGCTCGCCTGGCTTGGGGCAGAGTGGCTCACCATCGGCTTATCAAGGCCAATGCTGTCCTGCATAGAGCTTGTGCAGGAAGCCGGGCTTGCAAAGCACCCTGCAGCTGATGCTCATGATGCTTGCCCGACTTGGGCTGAGTGGCTCACCATGGGCTTATCAAAGCACGCCACAGCTGATGCTGATGATGCTCGCCGGGCTTGGTCATGCAAAACACACCGCAGCTGATGCTCATGATGCTTGTCCGACTTGGGCTGAGTGGCTCACCATCGGCAAACCAAGGCTAATGCTGCTCTCCACAGAACTCGGGCAGGGAGGGGGGATGCAAGGCACACCACAGCTGATGCTGATGATGCTCGCCGGACTTGGTCATGCAAAACACACCGCAGC